GAGTAGGGAGTTTTTGTGTTGGACGAAAGAAGTACATGAAAACGGGTCATTAGAAGTAGGAAAGATTTACCTGAAACCATCGTTCTCTGTGAGGGCATAAGAGGAGGAAGAGGCAGGCCACATCCCCAAACTAGTTGCTTGGGATTCCACAGGCTTTCTTGAACGGTTACGGCTTCGGCGGTTCATGTGGTGCTCGCAGTATTTGGAGTCTGGATACACATCCTTCGAGCACCTCCACTTCTTCCCGTCGCTCCTCCGGCACCTTCCCGGCTCCGGATCATATTTCTTTCCATTATTGTTGGAACCATACACCACTGCTTGTTCCAACAAGAAATTTGAGGAGATGTCATTATGTTCCATAGCCACAAGCATACATTTATTTATTCCAACAAGTTAAGATTGATGGATGACTCTATTGTCTCCTAGTATTTGAACAACAACAAAAACATAGGATTCATTTGATCCTATGAATCCTCCACTTTGTAATCTTGATAATCTGACATATGTTAATTCATTATTTATGTCCCAACAGTTAATTACTTTGATTTAGTCCATTATGTACCCGGACTTAATTTGTAGCTCCATTTGCATATACACAATATCAAGAAAAGAATTGAGGCTCCATTACTCATCTGTGCTGTGACTAAAACATGGCCCTAAACTAAAGAGAATGATTTTGATTGAAAAAAATTGAAAATTATTATTGTTTTAACAGTTTACAGAGAAAGAGAAGAAGAACATACAGGTTGGGTGTTGGAAGTAGGTGGCGGAGAGGGCTTCGAAGCTCCGGCGAACGGGGACAACCAGCTGCGGAGGCACGGGGACACCCGCCACCAGGTACTTGTATATCATGGCCTGGTGCTCCAGCTCCTGCCACTGCACCGCCGTGAACGGCGTCCGGTAGCCGTATCCATAGCCCAAAACCGCCGCGTCCCCCGCCACAGGCGTCGACTTCACGCTCATTTCTCGCCCTCCTCCTCCCTAGAAGTCTCCGCAAATATAAAACAGAAAACCCCCTGAACAACGGAATGAATCAGGTGAAATTAAATTAAAGGTGTGTTCATTGAGATTCGGGAGGTCTGGGCTGCGAATGAATGATGAAAGGACAGATCTAGCCTCTTGAGCTTAGCTATGTTCAAGTCATTTAATTAAACTATATTCAATTCGTTTCGTTTCACTCTATTTAACTGATTTGAAGAAAGAGATGAAAGAAAGGGCTGTAATTGATAATAGCGTTTGGCCGGAATGGATGGGCGAAGGTCTTATATCTGGGCGAAGTCTCATGTAAGACAACTAAATGCACTTCGAGGTGATGCTGAAGAATTGAGGGAAACCCTATTGAGAGATAGAGCTAGCCTATTCGTTACGGGGACGGACCTTACCTACAGCACCTGGTTTCTCCAACGCATATTAGCTTAGTTGTGCTTAGGCTTAATAGGCCGGCTTGGCTTCCTCCGTTGGTCGTACCTCTTTGAGGGATTCCCGTTGGTCGTACCTCTTCGAATGAGAACTACCAAAAGCACAAAAGTTGTAGACTTAGTTTAAAAAATACTCTAGATATTTATGATCTTTTGCTTTATTAAAATTTGGGAAAATAATGAAAGTAAGAGTAAAACATATAACAACTCTCCAAAATAAGAGTTAAAACTTAAACTCTCTTAAATAAGAGTTAACTTAATTAATCTAATTAACCTTCTCATGCACTCCCTCCCCCACTGATCGCTTCCTCAGTGTTTGGCATTTTTCTAAATGTTTAAGTTGTCACGAGAATAATGTCCAAGAGAAAATCAAACTGCCAAATATAGCAACAAGCTCGCATCCTTCGCTGCATCGTGCAATCAACCAACAATCTAGCATAAAAATGTGCAATGGCCACAACCGCCACCGACCCACTGTCACTGCCACCATGAACCGCCCCCCGTCTCCGCCATGCAATCTATTGTCGTCAGTGATTTTTCACGTCACCAAGCGTGCCTCTGTCGCTGCTAACACTACATTGATTTTGCCCACGACCTACTGTTGTACCCTGCACCGTGCAATCAAATGTTGACGATGATTTCTTACGTCACCAAGCGTGCCTTTGTCGCTGCTAACACCACTTTGATTTTGCCCACGACCTACTGTTGTACCCTGCACCGTGCAATCAAATGTTGCCGATGATTTCTCACATCACCAAGTGTGCCTCTGTCGCTGCTAACACCACTTTGATTTTGCCCACGACCTACTGTTGTACCCTGCACCGTGCAATCAAATGTTGCCGATGATTTCTCACACCACCAAACTTGCCTCTTTTGCCACCAACACCATCGGGATCTGCCATAGTCTCCGTAGTATTATTGTCTTACAATGACTGCCAAGGAAAAATATTTTTTATACAATGAAACAATAATATAATGCCAAAGATTACAATCTATAAAACCAAAACATAGCCTCTAACAAATACAAATATGCCACTGCATTATGTCAAAGAAAAAAATTAAAATGCCAAATATTACACTGATTAACAACAAATATGTCACTGTATCATTCATTATTCATAAGTCATCGGGGATTATGTTCTCTTCAAAGAACATCGATCCAAAGTAGATTTCTTTGAAGAGACAATAAAAAATGGTAGATCGATACCCATTTATATCATAAATTGATGAAATCAAAGTTTTATATGCATACCCATTTAATGGACAGAAGAAGCGAGACAAAAGCATCACCCACGATCTCTTTGTTGAGGACTTGAAAGGATGGGGCGGACGGAGCATAGGTGGCCCGGATGGTGTACAAAGTGGCCGACTGCACAGGACCCCTAAAATTTTAGGGCCCATATTTTTAAATTTTTTAATAATTTTAAAGGAAAACTATTCTAAAAAATAAAATAGAGCCTAAAATGTAAATTTAGGACCGGACCCATTTTATTTTTTCATTTTTCGGGGCCGGCTCTGGGGCGGAGGCAAAGGAGGTGGGCGGCGGTGATCGCGATAAGGGGCTGCGGTGACGGTGGGAGTCGAAGGAAGAATGGCGGAGAAGGGATCGGAAGTGAACGAGAGAAGGGATCAGATCTAATGATCGGATAAAGAGTGGGGAGCTTAATTAATTACTCATATTTTGGGTATATAAGTTATGAACTCCTATTTTGAGTATATGCTTAATGATTTACTCCTATTTAGGGGGTTTTCTTTTAAAATTTTGTTTGTTGTGTTTGTCAATCTGTATCTGCTTATAAATTATGACTTTTTCTTTCTAAAATAAACTTCAAAAGTACTTTTGAGTAAAGTTAAAAATGTTGGTATTTCTCTGTGCTCATAAACTGGTCAAAATTGCTTATAAACACTTTTTCACTTATAAGTCAGCGGTGTAGATATTTCTGTGTGCCTACAAGTTGATTCATAAGCTGTTTATAAGCCAAAAGAAGTAGGTCTTACCTAAAACTAGAGAATTACTCTAAGACATAGGGAGTATTATTTTTTTTATTTGCATATTTTTATTGATCATTTGATAAAATAAAATTTTTTTTGTGTATCTTTTATTTTGTAAAACTTTTATTCTAATATATAAATATGTAAGTTTCATTTTTTATTTCTATACCAATCGTTTTTAAATAAAATGGTTGGAAATATTTAGTTTCAACTCCCCCAACCAAAATACAAAAATAGATTACCAAACGCCCGCATGGACTGCTTAGTTGGTCGAGAACGTGAAATTTTGGATCGATGACCATGGATTGAGTTCCGCAAACTATCAAAAAATCAGGTGAGGAGAGCATTCTTGAAGAATTGAGCTATCAAAAAATCCGTGTAGTGTTTATAAGCTTAATGGACCTTCCCGTCCTGCCCGCGAAGGAATAAAAAGCATCATCACTCTCAGGGGGCAACCCCTCCCCAGCTGCCCGCCCATTCCCCATCTCTTCCCTCCCCCTCCCCCTCGCTGAATCCCTCCTTTTCATCTTCCCCAATATCAAAGACCCAATCGATCTGAGTCCCAAACCATGAGTCTCTTTGGTATTGGAAGGTAAACTTTTTAAATGTTCAAAAAAATCAATTTTTAATTGTGTTTCTGATCCTTTTTTTCTCGCTTTTTTAACAGATCTGTGGGTATGGGTTGTTTTTGCTGATGCTAATTGCGGGTCTTGAATTCTTTGTGGATAGATATATATTCTTGATTCATGTCTTTGTTTGTTTGTTTGTTCGTTCCGGATATAATCTACTGAATTGAATTTTTGAGTTGTTAATGGAATCTAAAGAATTGGATATGGATTCTTTGTTTGTAAAAAAATATGGATCATGTGGATTAAAAGCCATGAGCTTTAGGCCTTGTTTCTCACCCAGCTGTTTGGGTAGCTGATCCAAAAAAAAAAAACTTGATAGACAAACTTTTTGCAAACCAAACTTGAAAAGAAGCTTCTCCGAAAAGCTCTTAAAGCTGGGCCAAAAGCTTGGAAATTAAGCTTTTGGAAATCCAGCTTTTTGGAACCTAAAGCTCTTTATCCAAAACTTCTAACAGCTGTCCTTTAGCCCAAAAAGATTGTTTCAAACGCCCCCCCTAAACCAGAGACCTGTGTTCTTTGGGATATTGATCTTGTGGAATCAGTAATTATGGTTGAAGTTTCATCATGACCAGTGGCTTTATGCCATTTCTATACTTCAAACTATGGCCTATGCTCTGCTATTAGTTAAGATTGGTTTGCATTAAAGTGTTAAACTTTTAAGTTCTCTTATTCCTAATGCCTAATCTGATATTTCTGTTCAGGAATCAGAGAACATTCCGCCCTAAAAAAAGTGTGCCCTCGGGGAGTAAGGTTTGTTTCGTCTGAAGAAAAGTTTTACTCCCTATGTCCATAAAATAACATCTTGCTTTCCTTTTTCAACTGTCCCAAAAGGAAGTTCCTATTCTATTTAAGGAATGAAATAAGTGGTTTACATTAAACTCGGTGGAAAAGCAACCCAAGACTTCTTTTAGAGACATAGGGAGTAATTGCCTCATGATAAAATTGATGGGGAAGAAAATGGACATTAAGAGTTGGTGTGAAATTTTAATCTATCTTCATTGATCATCATACTTTTTAAGGTTTGGCTTCAAGGAAAACAAAACCTCCATTTGCATGTAATTTGTAATTAAAGCCATAACCAGAGACAGTTCCAAAATCCAAATGCACTTGAAAGTCATCTTCTTTATAATTAAAAGTCTACAAATACAAACTTGATAGAATCACACAAAAGTAGGGTCTATGGAGGACGAGTGTATGTAGACCTTACCCCTAATTGGAAGTAGAGAGGTTGTTTCCAAGAGACCTCTGGCTCAAGCACATATGTACAGACAAACAAACCACAATAGCATTAATGAAGTATGAGAAAAAAGAGTGGAAACACTTGACTCAAACAACTATGTCCACTATTTCTCTAATTCAAAGTCTAGCCATCTTAATTTTGTTATGTGTATTTTTCCCAATATTGCAGGGAGCACAATTAAGAAAGCACATTGATGCGACTTTAGGTAGTGGAAACTTGAGAGAAGCTGTAAGACTTCCCCCGGGAGAGGACATTAATGAGTGGCTCGCTGTCAACAGTAATCTCACCCTTCATCCCTTATTCTTGATACATAATAATTCAGACTCCTATATCCTCTAACAGTGGTTGTCTATTTAATTGGCATATATATTACTTCATGTGTTAGTGCTTTGTTCTGACACTGAAGATTCAGGTCACGTTTGGAATCCTTATTTGGCTTATTTTGACTTCTTTGGTTGAAATTAGTTTTAAGTAATGATTTTCTTTCAGGAATGGTAACGGACTCAGCCAATTGTTTCAGACAGATTATTACCCTTAAACTATGTTTGGTTCAAGGAATTAGGAAGGAAAAGAAAAGAAACCTGTTTTCTCTCATTTTCCTCACTAAAATGGGAGAAATTTTGTTTTCCCTCTTTTACACTATGTTTGGTTCGTGGAATTCAAAAGAAAAGGAAAAAAAAGAAGTTTTCTCTCTTTTTCCTCATCAAGACGGAAGGAAAATCATTTTCCTACTTATTAGTGTTTTTCTTCTCCCATTTTCTTTTCCTTCCACTTTTCTTTTCTTTTCTTTTTCTCTCTAACCAAACACAAAAAGTTTTTTCTCTCATTTCTTTTTTTTCCCTTTCAAATTCATTGAACCTAACATAGTGTTAGTATATTTTGTCTTCTCAGTTCTCATTTTCTTTTCCTTCCACTTCTCTCTTCTTTTCTTCTCTAACGAAACAAAAAAAATGTTTCCATCTCATTTTCTTTTCTTTTCCCTTTCAAATTCCTTGAACCAAACATAGTGTTAAGAAATGAACACTAACACTCTAACTATTTCAACACCTGTTTCTGTGTTGTATTCATACTCTCCAATTTTGTCAGCTGAATGGAGATCATTTTGATTTTATGATTTTCAGCTGTCGATTTCTTCAACCAGGTCAATCTGCTCTATGGCACCCTGACTGAGTTTTGCACACCTGAGAACTGCCCTACAATGACAGCAGGCCCTAAGTATGTTACATTGTTTACAATTAGAGTTTTAAAATGCCAAGGGTGTTTTTTAGAACACAGAAAAGGCCAGGGAAAGAAATTGGAGGAAAAATTTGGATGAAAAAAACGTGGCAGGAATAAAACATTGGTTGGAACTTCATACATATATTTGATATTGTTTAGTTATTTATTTATAGATTCTATTAAATAAATACTAAGAAATTTCAACATATGATTTTTTTTCTAAAAACACCAATGACGTTCCATTTTCTTTTGTACCTTTTGAGGTAAAATCAACACAAGGGAATAACATTTGCATTTCTTCGCCCCTTCCCCTATCATTTTCATGGATAAAAAAGCCAAATATACCATTAGATTCTTTTATTTTAGTATTTGTGCAAAAGGAATCATCAGTGATTTGTTTTGTTTTTAGTAATTGTTACCTTTCAATAAGTCATCCTCAGCAAGCGTAAATAGTCATTAAAGGTTACATCTATTTTCTTTTCTAAGGGTTGAATGCAAGGTTTTCTGAAATAAATGCAATTGGCATTGCGAGATATTTAGGTAACAATTTGAGACAACATCATTTGACTCGACACGGATGTTGATTTTCAGGTACGAATATAGGTGGGCAGATGGGGTGCAGATCAAGAAACCTATAGAAGTTTCGGCACCAAAATATGTCGAGTATTTGATGGATTGGATTGAGGGCCAGTTGGATGATGAATCCATATTTCCTCAAAAGCTTGGTAATTTTATTTCTTTTCCATCATATAGTGCCCCGCATTGACTGCAATAACCAACTCTTAACAAACTTCCTATCGCGGCTTCCATCTAAAAACATCGTTGCTTATATTCTTATAAACAATACGAGATTCCAACCCAAAATCAGTTGACAATAGTAGGAACTCATATTCTTGTACATTATCCTTCAACAATTTATTTACTAAATGATGATCCATATGGTAAATTTAGGTGCACCATTTCCGGCAAACTTCAAGGATGTTGTGAAGACAATATTCAAACGATTGTTCCGCGTATATGCTCATATCTATCACACCCATTTTCAGAAGATTGTGAGCCTCAAGGAAGAGGCCCATCTCAACACTTGCTTCAAGCATTTCATACTATTCACCCATGTAAGTGTGTTCTCTCTCTCTCTCTCTCTCTCTCTCTCTCACACACACACACACACACACACAACATCTGAACTCCAAATTCCATCTTCTTATGCCGTGTTTGGTTCTTAAAACAAGCTGCATTGAAATCTGCAGGAGTTTGGGCTTATTGACAAGAAGGAGCTTGCTCCACTCCAAGAGCTTATAGAATCTATTATTCCACCTTTCTGAAGATGATGATGATGATGATGATGTTTGACCTTGTTATGATTTTGGATTATTACCTCACTTCACCTTTACCTCACCTTACTTTACCTAGCACTACTCCATTAAAAAAGGTCACTGTAAAACCTCTTTGGTTTGCTTAATCTTCAAAATCAGTTGTTAATATCTCTCTTTATATATATATGAACCATGCAGAAAAGACTAATCATTTGGGGGTTGATAATTTATGAGTTTTGGTGACTCAAAATGTATGTATGTATTTGATGGGAATCTTTGGCATTTTACTTTTCTTTTGTGTAATAAAATAAAGATCTTTTTGGTTTTGTTTTGTATTACCATGCTTTATTCAATCGTCATTATTACATCACGATTTTGGTGAAATTAACATCCATCAATGTCTGGTACAATGTGTTATGTATTTAATCAATTTTCTTTATTCAGAAAACAGAGCATAATTCTCCTTCGAAAATAGAAAGATACTCCCTTCGTCCGGGAACGATGTTTCCACTTTGACTTTTGGTCATTTTTAAGAGTGGTTGACTATGGGATGGAATGGTCTAAAATACCCTTCACTCCTCCTGCTAATTACCCCATCTCAATCTGCACCACCAGACCCCATCGCCAGCATACCCCCACAGCCACCAGCCCCATCACCACTGCCAACCCCACCCTCTCTTCCGGCACCCCCATCACCGCCCGTCCCTCTGTCACTGCCATTCCCCACCATTGCGGACATGGAATAATAAGAAGACAGCAGAGAAAGGGAAGAAGAAGAGGCGAATGGTGATTAAGGCACGGATCTATTTAGATCTAGAAGAAAGAGGGAGGAGAAGAAGAAGGGGGAGGATCTGTGCAAATCGAAGAAGAAGAAGAAGAAGAAGAAGAAGAAGAAGAAGAATGGAAGGAAGAAAGAAAGAGAAAGAAAGAAGGAAGAGGGTAGTTTTGGAAGAGTTGTAAAAAATAAGTATAATGGGAACTATTTCTCAAAAGTGTTGTCTTCCCATACACGAGTATTTAACCATATTAATAAAATCACGGAAAGAAAATCATACTGGCAATGTTTAGTACTATAAACCACAGTGGAAATGATTTGAAGCTCCTCTGAGCAACAAAAAAAAAGAACTCCAAAGTCTTCCTATCTATCCATCATGATTTCTGGTGGCCGACCAAACCTGGAAACAGCAAGAACATAAGCACCCAAAACAGCCCCGAGCAGGCCAAAGACCAAACCGAAGAGCTGAACATTGGCCAACAGCTCACCCCGAACCTGGCTATCCACGGACCCACACGAGATTTCACTCTCTTTAAGGTTGCAGCCTTCGGGCATCATGGGACCATAAAGAGTGAAGGCTGTCTGGTAGAACCACAGGCCTTGGAGCGCGATTGCGATCCCACTGGACAGATCGACAGGGAAACTGGTGGGCATGAGGGCCCCACAAATGGTAGTCGCTATGCATAGACCTATGAGGAGGACAAGGATAAGATGGTAATATCCCTCGAGACCCTTGTGCGTTGTCGAGTGAAAATAAAACAAGAAATACTCTGCGCAGAATGCCACGGAAGCAACCAAGCACAATGCTCCTTCGGGCAAGGGCAGGAATCTGCAGAAAAGGAAAGAATTAACCATATATGATCAGCATCCATAGGGTGCCTTTGGATGCTATGCAAAACAAGTACAACTTACAAGACGAAAAAATCAAAATGTAAGAAAAGCAGAAGTTAATAGTTAATAATGATCAAGAAGGAAAAAGGAATCTTGACCTGGTTTTTTCAGAGAGCAGTGCAATGACTCCAAAGACAACAAACATGAGAAGCATTCCGGCATGCTCAAAGTTATTCATATGAGTGGGATTCAAAACTTCATGAACAAAGAGCTTGAGGTGGGTCGAATAGAACAGCTCGATACAGAAATCAATGAAGCCTCCGATTGCTATGACGTAAAGCTCCAAGTACTTCAGCTTCCCGTTGAAACCCGTGATCGGATTCCATGCCCGTACCCGGAAAGATTTGGGGTCGGACACATATCTCACTATTGCACACCAAATATGCCATACCCCAACGACGAGAAACAGTGTTCCTGGCAAGACATGCCCAGGGAAAGATCCCATCTGCTCACTTTTGAATTGAAAACAAAGAACTGTCTTTCCCAACCAAGGCCTTTGGTAATAAGTTGTGCCCACTGATTCTCTACAAAACCATGATTTTAATGCGTAATTTCCCTCTCATATACTTTTCTTTTTCCATACAAGTTCCTTGAACCAAACATAGTGGAAGGCACACACAAAGAAAACACAGTAAACATAGTAGCATGAACAAAGTAAATGTACAACCGCTAGCAACAAGACCCAAAGCACAAAAGTTGTATGCTTTCTAATGAACAAAAAATGGGTTGTTTCAACCTTAATTCCACAAAGGAGGCTATAAGGAGACTTGCCCCATCAGGAGAAAACTAGATATTCTTTTTATTTCTGCAAATTATCTCTTTCTTTTTCCCAAATTCTCTTGAATGTATTGTCAGTTGCTTGATTCAGATTAAATATACTCCGTAGTTAATTAAAAAACAAAGCATGTGTTTTTCTGCTGCATTTTTACAATTATGGTAAAATACTACTCGTATGCTGATACTTGGTTGGGGAATATGGATTAACATAATTCAGACAAGGAAGAAGTTCGTCAAAATAAAAAAAAAAGATATATAGGAAAAAAGGAAGGATCTTGAATCATGGGGTTGTGAACATGTAAAAAACACCCTAAAAAAGCCATCTTTCGAAAAATCAAAATCGAATTCTTTGTTGCTATGAGTTGCCCGGATTGGCAAACCCAATAACCCATCACAGATCTTCCACAGATCACTCAAATTACAAACTCAATCTAGCTCGAAGGGAAGAGAAAAACACAGAAAGAAAAATCCCACAATAGAATGGAAAAAAGACAAAAGAATAGAAAAGAGAAACGCACTTACATTGAGTGCGTAGCACCTGAAGGAGTGATTGGGAGCCTAAAATTGAAAGGGGAAAAAAGGCAATCTTCATCGCTTTTTGAGTTGCAGAAAGTGATTAATAGAATCAATGGATAATGATGAAAGGAAAAGAAGGCCCGTGTGGTTTGGCAGCCTTGCAGAGAGGAATACAATACAGAGAACGGAGATTATGGTGGTGGTGGTGGTGGTGCCTCTGCCACGTTAGAATTTGTACTCCATTTCGTCTATAATATTCTAATTGTTTTGGAACTGGAAATCGGTGGAAAGAAATGAATAATGAATTGCTTTTCTCCCCTCTCATTGCCAAAGTCGTGTGGGTTTCGCTTTTTCGGGCAGAAGACGGGGCAGGTTAGGCTCTTGACTCGGGCAGGTTTGACTTTTACACCAAATATACACAAGGTAAAAATAGACATAACTAAATTCCCTAAAACTCCTTTTAGAGTTAATCTAAATTACCTATAAAGCGGTTTTACATATTTTTTTCCTGAAAAAATTCCAATTTTTCGTTTGTTGTTCATCACTTTTAACCACACTATAAATTAAGTCAACCTTTTAAGGAAAAGGTTAAAAAATAAAAGATTTATTAACAAAATTTGTTTAAAAAGAATAAAAGATTTTTAAAGTTAATCTTAATCTAATAAGCTTTCAGTTTGAAAACTCTGCACTGCTGAAATGATGTCCTTGAGTCCAAACTCACACATAAGAAACTTCACTAAAGCCACAACAAACATCAATGAAAATCAAGACCAATTTGGATTTACACTTTGGGATACATTCACAAAACATAAGAGTTGTAAAGCTGACTGTATTCTTCAACATTATCACTGTGCTAGATATCTACTGTATATGCATATACATATATATACCACACTAAACTACATCATTCATTTCAATAACCATAATGATGATGATGATGGTATCCATGATAATGTGACTCCACATCATCATAATGATACATGTACCCAGATTGAGAAGGCTGATTTTCAGAGAGGTAGTAGATATCCCTAGGTGGCGGGCCCGCCTCGTAGCGTTGCACTGCCTCGTCTTCTTCATGGATATGAGAGGGAGACGTGGGGTCATTTTCCGGACTTGGAAGGATCTCAGCCTCCTGCTTCTTGTCGACTTTGACCTTGACCAAGTCAACGTCCTCGAACGAGCTGAAGATCGGGTGCAGATATGCATCTGCCAATAAAGCTTTCAAGTCGACACTGGTTTCCGGGTGGTCTTGCATGTCTTTGTCCACAGCTTCCTGAAAAACAAGATGACTGAGAATCAAGAATCGCGCTTGTATAGGCTTTACAATGGGGCGACTAAAGCTCCTTTAACATACCTCAAGTGGATACCTTTTGAATGCCGGTTCAAATCTGTTCTTACAATATTTATGGAATGTTAAGGTCAAAATTGGCAACACAACAAGAAGAGGAGTTGAATTTGCAGCTTTTTTGGTGCTCAACAGACCCAGCAGAAGCATTTGGGAAATTAGTAAGCTTGCTATTACGCGACCATGAACATGAGGCCAAAAAGCAGCTGCACTCTCATACCTTTGGTTGTATACATTGATTACCTACACAACAAAACTTTTTAAGAGTCTCAACCTGTTTGGCAAGAGTAACATTTAAGGTCCGTTTGGAAAAGTGGAAAATGATTTTCGGAAAATGACTTCAAGAAAATGAATTCATTCACTGATGTTTGGTTGAAAATTTGAAAATGAAAAAAAAACTAGTTTTGTTGTTACAACATGATAAAACGTGGCGAGTTTTGATCTAAGAAGTAGGAGAATGGTGAAACATGCCTTCCGTCCAAAAAAGTGGAAATCATATCTTGATTTTCCTCCAAATAAGGCACATTTTCCAATGACTTTGGAAATCATTTTCTGGTGACTCTTATATTCCAGAACAGCCAAAACCCGAAAAATGAGAAAATGACTTCCGGGGGTCATTTCCCCCCTTCCCAAATGGACCCTTAACAGAATTTACTATAAGGTGTAAACTTTATGGCATAAATGAATTAATAATCTAAAAACCGATAAGTTAATGCACTAAAATAAGATAGCATTCGGTAGGAAATTTCGTTTATCCCATTTTATTCAAATATATTAATTAAAATACAGAAAAGTACAAAAAAAGTACATGTGGTAAGGAACCACATGCTATTTTTTTGTACTTTTCCTTATAAATACTACAGGCTACAGACTACATAGAAACAGAAATGCTGAAACAAGACTGCAAAAGCTATACTTCAAACAATAAACTGATAAAGCAAAACTGAGATTTAAAAAAGAGAGATAATTGCCAACCTGATGACGATAAACGAGATATGCGAAGGCAAAGAAGACGAGTATGAAAGGGAGAAGGATGGGTGTAACCACAGCATAGACAATGCCCAGAAGAAAGTAGAGTTGAAGAGTCGGAAGAGTTTCCGGAAAGTCAATGCTCCCGGGTTCTGTTGCCTTTGCCCTATCCCTTTCGGTTTTCACAAAGAACATGCTCTTGAGATGAAAAATCACCAATGGCTTTAAGCGAAGGATTTCACAAGCAATGCCGGCCCACCCATCAACCATTATATATGTAATAAAGAAAGTGGCTTTCATAGGTATTGACACTCCAATGTTTCTCGGTATTCTGCAAACAGCTCATATATAATTTTATATTAAAAGAGAAACTTGGAAGAGGGAACTCATTTAGGCCGTGTTTGGTACCAAAAAATATATTTTCCTAGAACTTTTGTGATTTTCCTGAAACAAGGGAAAACATTTCCATACATTTTCTTGGAAATACATTTTCCTGTGTTTGGGAGGAATGTAGAGGCCCCTTTAAGGATGTGGAGAGGAGTAGAGGTAGACCTAGAAAGAGTATTAGAAAATGGTTATTGTGTTCCTACTTCTATGCCCAATCAGGGGGTTTCTTGGAAACAACCTCTCCACTTCATAGTAGGGAAAAGGTTTACGTACATACACCTTCCTCGGACCCTACTTTGTGTGGGATTTTATTGGATTTGATGTTGTTTCCTAGAAAATAGAAATACAACCCTGAATTTGGCATAAAAACATTTTCTTAATGAGAAATTTTCCTTGACTACAACTTCTGGGATTTTCCTGAAAACGTTTCATGTTTTATGTTCTTGTGGGTCAAACACTATATTATGCGTAGAACAGCTTAGGTTCCTGAAAAGATCATTTCCTAATAAATTAAAAAGCCCCTAAGGAAAGAAATAGCTATCCTACCTCTGTCCCAAAAAGAGTGGTGTTCTTAATACTGTTTTTAGTATTAGAATCAAGACTCCTTTTTGAGACTGATGTATTATAACAAACTGCGAAAAAGCAAACAGTTCAGAAAATCTAAAAAAATCATTACCTTGAAAAAACACTAGCGGATCTTGCTTTTGTTTTTCTTTATTTATTCTTTTGTATCAACAGTATTAGTGTAAGCATTGTGAGAGAAAAATATGTGAAAAAGAAATGCTCTGTTTAAGAATTTAATTGAAGGAGAGAAGTGCAGTACTGTGCAGCTGATTGGTGAAGGAAAGCATGGAGTTGCTGGAATGCCGTTCCAGCGATAATACTTCCCAAAAACACATTGACCAACATGAAATAATAATATTTAGCTGCAGCTCTCCTTTCAAGCACTGATAATGCCACATGCCCCTCAATTTTTGACATAATCATAAGGATGGTTGGAAGAACAAACATGAAAATTTTCAGAGCTAAACCAGGAAGGAAACCTTGTAAGAATGACTTGATCACCTTCCTGCAAGATTGATTGATTGCATAAATTTCAAGGAAGAATAAGTAAAGCATCCCTTCTTGTTAACATTACATTAGAAGAACTCTCAATAATTCATTAGCCCAAGAAAATGAATAAATGATGCATCTAGTATCGAAAAATTGCAGGATGGGAGGATCATCCCGCACTTGTTAGGGGTTTCTAGCACTCATGTTTAGGCGATATGAGCAAAATATAGAAAAATGTAATGTCTGAGTACACACACCCTCTCCAGATCCTACTTTTTGTGGGATTTTACCGGGTTTGTTGTCTTTGAGCTAATTCCATCAAAATGAGAAAAAGAATGAGCACTTTACCACTCAATTAGTGGCTTGAGGAAAGGAGCAACTTTTTCTAGGCCTTCCAAATTTGCAAGTGATTGCACGAAGGCAATAGGTATCATATAGAAGAAGACCAAAGCAAACAATGATACTCCTATCACCAATCTTCGGATGCTTAGTGAAACAAACGATATTGACAGATTTTTCCAATACACATCCGGAGGTTCAGGTGCCGGGTCTGTCAACCATAGGGTGGGGTTCTTGCTTTGTTGAGTCTGTGCACAAACAGCTGCCCCCCATCTTGAATTGAATGATACAAAAGCAGCTGGGATGATAGATTGAGGATCCTTAAGAATCTTCTCCCTCTCAATTATCAACTGAAAAGGAAATATAAAAAAAAAACTAACTCTTAGCATCTGTTTGGAAGAAGTGGAAGACTTTGCATGGCCGAGTCTATATCTAGATTATATTTTGATGTATTATAAAAACGGAAAATTCATAATGCTATTGCATAACTTTTCAATCATCTTTTTTTTCTTTTTAGAAACACTACATTTATAAGGATTTAGACTAAGCTCTGCAAAGCCTTCCTCCTCAAAATCGTTCATCCATACATGACCAAAAAAGGTCAGTTTGGGTGTAGGTTTCGGAGTGCTAGTCTAAAAGTTAGGGAACAACATGATATGCGATCATATAACATTACAAACAACATTTATTCATTTTCAGATATATTTTATTTATCACAATATAGACTAAGCCCTCCAAAACCCTCCACCCTAACTGACTAGGTCTCTTTTCCTTCTTCAAAACTTACCACTTTGTCAATCTCTTCAACCTGGTGCTTATAATACTCAATGGAATCAACCTTTTTGCCCCAAAGTCCAAGGAAGCCAATCTGTGGATCATACCAAAAAAAAACTCTAGAAAAAAACTAGTACAGGATTAACTTCCTTCTTTACAACACAACAGCACATGCTTTGTCAAACCGGTGTTTCCGTAAAGAGCATACCTTAGTGGTTGGCCTCTTGTCTGGATTCATGTCAAGCTTAAGCTGGTTATAATCCAGCCAATTTATAAGCCTATTTCTTTTCCTTACAAGTTTGGCAAACTTATTTGCATTATAGACAGCCTGGGCAAAAGATATAACCAATGGTAGGTTAGTATTAATACGGAGTAGTTTGGAAATCATTACAAACAAATTATAAGTGCGGGTGTGTGAAGAGCCAATCTTAATTCATGCAGGAGCAAATTTTTAAAACAGGAAAAAACAGAACGAAAATGAGAGAGAGAGAGAGAGTAACCTGGTGGCAAAGATAGTGATTTGGGTGGTTTCTTTTAAAATGACTTTCTACACTGTCTGAAATAGAACGCCCAGATTCATGTGGTACATTTCTTACAATAACCTGAAAGGCATTAAGACAGAGCTTACATGCCAAATAGTTCATCAAACACAATAGAGACAAGTCTGGAGCTGTTTCGTGTGCACTTTATACGAGTATCTTTTATTTCTTATGAATATCTATGACTTGTAAAGAAATTTTTAATTCTTTATAAACCGTATAAAAATAAGAAACAATCTACTCTTATTTCCTATCATTTTTTCACGCTTTCAGTTTCTGTTTCCAAATAACGAAGCTTCATAGTCGTATCATTATAGTCATGCGAGTAAATTGGCAAAGGTTTCACATATTTACTCACGGTGAACTGTCCCGCTTTTGTGGCTTGCGAAGCCAAGAATTGTAACCTCATTGATGCCACTTGATGATATTCCTTGTACAGAACATAGCATGTCCAAAATGTGAAGAAGAATTCCATTGCTATGTGCACGAAAAACCTGATAATCGACCACCAATCCACCACGGGCTTTCGTGTAAACACATCAATCCAGTTCAAAGAGCTAGCAATTCATTGCAACAAATAAAACACTTTCAATAGGTCTTACTTCGAAGATTTGGGACTAATATTGGAAATGGAGAGTTTATCGACATCGCTGACGACCAGGTCTTTGCTGAGGAAGAACAAGGTTCCACCCGAAACATTGACCGGGATAAGAACCAGGAGGACCACTACAGCCGTGGGTCCAAATATCTTTAAGCTATCAAAGACAGAGGAACAGTAATCAGTCCAACCTGAAAGGTCATACCTTTGGAACTTGCAAATTATTTTAACATCTCAGGAAGAAACATACAGTGAGCATCAAGCATCTATAAGCAAAATTCGAGTGCTAAAATAGCAAAAGAAAGAACGATATCTGCAAACCAAAGAGAATCATTATCAAAAGAAATGATAAACACCAGAATTCTTTGAAAATCCAGTAAACTAAAAACCCAAACTCAACAATTTTGCAAAAATCAAACAGCCCAACATCATCACTTCAGAACAAAATTTGGGGGAAAAAACAATAATTAAAGATTGCAAAAAAAAAGTTCCAAGCTTTATGATACCCAAGAGTATAGATCCTGAGGAAGACGGCGGAGTCAAGGCCAGCATGAGTGATGATCTGAGGCTCGGTCATCTTCATGGACTGGGGCATCCAGTTGAGGAAGGTGAGGTAAGTCTTGAAATTGAGGTTCACCCAGCTGCGGACACCGTTGTTCTTGGGGCTGCTTCTTCTCTTCCCATCAACATACCACTTTGGGAAGTAAACTCTGTCGTTGATGGGCTGAATCCTCAGCACAGCAAAAGCCAACAAGAACCCCAAAGCACTCAGTGTGTTGATCAATGCCGACATCCCAATGTCCCCCACGCTTGCCATCTCTCTCTCTCTCTCTCTCCTCTCTCTCTCTCTAGAGGAGTACCCAAATGGTGACGAGCTTTCAAAGAAAAAGTTTGGTGTAGTGGAAAATCAATAGAACCATCGGAGAAAAAGTGTTGCTTTTCTTGAACGAAAGAAAACGTTGGACCACGAGTGCTAGTTAGAAAAATGGTGAAAATGGAACAAAGGGGAAGACTTGAAAAATCGGATAAAATTGAGAAAAGTTAACACACTTCTCTTTTAAATTGATGAAAATTTTAGTTTATTTGTACTTTTTTTGTTGATTCTTTATAAAATTAAATATTCTTATCATCTGTTGTTTTATAAAATTTTAAACATAATTTTTAAATATGTATTGTTTTTAACTACTAAAGTATTTTTTTTATTACTATACCAATTTTAAATGTATAAACTTTTAAAAATTAGGATTCTCCCTCGTTTTCACTTCCATATAAGCGATAAATCACTTTGGAATATAGTACATTTATACTCTATACTTTTTAAATTTCATTTTTTTATAATTTATACTCAATTTGTTTCAAATTATTAATCTTTTCATGTCACATTATTTTTATGATTCACTTGATACTTTTTTTTAAAAATAGTGGCAGAAGATCCGTGTGGCATCTCAAAAATGCATATATCCCCTGTAGTCTAAAAAAATACAACGTACACCACTAGAGTGAAAAGACTTTTGACTTTTTCTCAAACGCCTCTTTCATTATATTTTTTGTCAAATTTAACCGAAGTTGAGACTCAAACAACAAAAATGCAGATAAAATTTATGTTTACACCCGTTGAAGTCACAGAAATAATCATGTAACCCATAATTTTACATTCCTAGACCCAAAGCTAAAGTTGCCTTTTCAAATTATTTTTTACTTATTACTCCATATTCCATATTATTTTATTGGAATCCAATCAAATCAATCACAAAATGCAAATTAAATTTTAGTTTGCAATTTGGAGAATATTTTAATTTAGAGGAACATTGACATAGCTATATCAAATCATGACGGGTAATGACGTAAGAATGTCTTATTATTAATAGGTATCCTTCAAGCTCTTGTAGTGATTTATTTCTAAAGCTTACTGTAGTGATTTATTTCTAAAGCTTACTGTATTGTGGCTGATATGTAAAAATGTGAAAACACCTGGGGTAAATAACTAATGAAGTCAATGGAATTGAGCATCACAAACAACACACAATGAAAACTTCCACTTTTAGACACAAATGGAATTTTTTTATATTAAAAGACTTTCAGTGTAATTGTACCCATAAACGTAAGATGTATTTTTTTCGTCAAAATTCTTGAAGTTTGTGAGGACAAGCATTTGGCAAAAGATTTTTATTTATACAACACATGAATCACCTCAAATTGGAACCCGATATAATTTTTATTTTAAAAATTGAGGTAACATGTTTTATCTTAAAATGATATTATTGCACAATATGTCATTATACGTTGACATACTAATTAAATTTTTGAACAAAATATCGATCAATGTTGGGGTTAAATTAGAGGGTTGAGGGTAGGTTAGGATGAATATGATACAATTCAGAATCTATAATTAAAGGACCGTAAGATGTTTAATTAAACGAGTATTATAGGTTGGCACTAGCATGCTTGTGTCATTTGAGTTTATTGACCGTCAATAGTATATTTATACTTCAGTCGTCCCATAATAACGTTTTAGTTCGGATTACGGTGCTAAACCGAAACTATTTTAATTCAACTTGTATAAAAAATGGTCAGAAATTAACAAATGAATATACATATTCCGTATTTAAAAACTTTTTCAAAAATTCTACAAAAAACGATGATATAACTATTTTATTTTATGAAATTAGTAAATAAAGTGAATACAAATTGGACATATGAATAGTATAAAATGATAACTCTTTGTCACATCTTATTTTGTAGAGTTTTCAATATAGTTTTTAAATACTATAAATTTTTTATATGTTATTTCCTTACCGATTTGTAAGTAAAATCATTTTAAAATCCACACGGTTTTGCATGTCAATTAAAGTAGGAAATTCTTTTTGGAATAAAATGAATGCATAAGCACGAGACAGAATGAAGATTTGCTTAAATTGATATACTTTTCCTTACACTATGTGTGGTTTAAGGAATTTGAAAAAAAAATGATTTTTCCTCTTTTTCTTTACTAAAATGAGAAGAATTTTGTTTTCATTTCTCTTAATATATTTTACATTCTTTTTTAATTTTCCTTTCACTTTTCTTTTTTCTAACCAAATAAAAAGATGTTTTCTTTCTCATTTCCTTTCCCTTCAACGAAAGATAGTGTTAATGTCAATTTATGCCCCAAAATCACTCAACATCAAATAGGCGTTGCCTATTTGTGGCCTCATAAAAAGCGTGGCCGACAACCGCCGTCAATCTCAATAGCCCAAGACTCCAAACTCGCCGCCGGCGCAAAACTTACCTGTAAATAATTTTCGGTCAATTTCTCTCGCCAGTGCTGACGGCGTAGATCCTACAATTTCGGATCGCTCTCGAGCCCGTCTCCTCAACGGAAGCCGAAGATGGCATCACTCTATCACGTCGGCGCCATTTCCAAGTCTCCATCGTTTCATACCTGCAGAAAAGCTGCATTTCGCTCTCCGCCCAGCCAACTCTCTTCACTCCGCTCTCTCCCTCGGTTAGCGCTCTTTTTCCCTAAATTTTGCTCGTCGCGCCCAGTAATTCTTATTCTACGACTCAAGGTTATAGAATTCGAGCTGCTAGGTTCTGTATGTTTGCCTTTTTATCGCAGCATTTTGAATTTGGATCCATTTGTTTAATTGATTATGGATTAGGGGAGAGGACTGAGGAGGGCGATTTTGTTGTTAGGATTGGAGTTTGCTGACCATGAATTTGTCTGAGAATTATAGGAGATTGAGCTGGGAAAAAAAGGAGTTCAATTTATTGAGTGGAAATAGATGGGAGAAGTGACGATCAGTTCTTTTTTTATATATTGGGTTGTGTTCTTGTAGCACCATCTTGCAGCCCCAGACGGAGTTTGGAGAAGTTAGGCTGAAGAGAAGAACACAACACAGTATCATAACAGTGATCCTACATAAGCTGTTGATTTTCATTTTAACCATTCATTTCAATTTGTTTCTGGAAGTTCTAAGTCTTATATGTGATGTGTTGACCACCGCAGGTTCTTTTATACTTTGTTCTAAACTTAGAATCATTTGTACTTATGACATTTTTATTTGGTACTATCCAGCTTTTACAAGGTTGGTGTGACCAAATGCAGTTATGCAGGAGGTAACATCAAAGAGAGCTTGAACACAGGGACAATTGATGTCGTGGCTGATGTGAAAAGTGAACGAGTATTAGTTTGACTTACCCCATTTTTTTGCTAACATTTAGATGATGTTTGCTTGTTTGTTTATTTACTCCATATATGTTTGTTATTAGATTGTAGTATTGGGAGGCAGTGGTTTTGTTGGCTCTGCAATTTGCAAAGCTGCAGTGTCCAAGGGTGTTGAGGTTACAAGTCTGAGCAGGTCTTTGAGATATTTCTCTGAAAGTTTATGTAGTTTTGTTCTTTTTGAATAAAAGTAATCCGAAGTACCACCTTAAATATTTTACAGATCAGGGCGTCCTTCTTACTCTGATTCATGGCTAGATCAGGTCACTTGGATTTCAGGCAGGTTCATGTTCTCCTTGTATCTCCAATAAGCTACTGTTGAATGAAACTGGAAGTTTATACATGGAATGATATACGGAGTATTATACAGTTGACTTATTTTATATGCATTTGTTTCTGTAGAAATTTCGCTATCACAGAGAACTATGAAAAACTTTTAGTTATGATCCCTCCATCCCAAAAAAAGAGTCATGTTGATCAAGTGAAGCTAGTTATTCATTTAATTTGTCAAAAAAGTCAGGCATGTAATGATAAATGTAATAAAACAAATACTCCATATCTAAGGTAAACAATGTTAAAGGGATTGATAAGTTATAGCAGTTGTACCTACCAAAATTGTAAAGGTGTTTAGGTCAAACATTTTTTTGGAATGTGTTTGTGGGTTGCTCTCTATTTCCTCCCTAGACCCTACTCTTGTGGGATTCAACTGGGTTGTTGTTGTTTGTGGGTTGTTGTGGGGGGTGGCCGGGGGTGGGGTGGGAGGGGGGTAGGCAGTAGCATTATAAGAAAGTGTCTCTAACTCTAATAAATTTGAAGACTTGATGCTTATCATCTACAGGGGATGTTTTCTATGCAAACTGGGATGAGGTGTTTGTTGGGGCAACTGCAGTTGTTTCAACACTTGGAGGTTTTGGAAGTGACGGACAGATGCTAAGGATTAATGGTGAGGCAAATGTTGTGGCTGTGAATGCTGCTAAAGATTATGGTAAGGAGCTGCTGAATATTCAAACCCCATTGCAAAGTATTATTTCTTTTATTGGAGTTTTATTGATTAGAGAGCCAAAAGATAGATTATCTAAGTAGTAAGTAGTTAATATTAAAATATCCAATACCCTTTATTGAACTTAGTAGTGTTAATAAATATCGGGGTGAACAGGCACACTCCCCAATGATGCTCCCTAGGCTGTATTGGTCATTTTAAATAAGAGAATTTGATTATTTGCTTATGATTAGCTGCTGCTTTTAAAATAATTTTGCAGGGGTTCCAAAGTTCATTTTGATCTCAGTTCATGATTACAATCTCCCATCGTTTTTACTAACATCGGGTTACTTCACTGGAAAGAGGAAGGCAGAGTCAGAGGTCCTCTCCAAATATCCAAGCTCAGGTACTCTTTTGACATTTCCTTTTTCTGTGGATATTTACTTATAGGCAAAAAGGATGCATTTTTTATAGCAATGAAACAAATGAAATCATATCCTTTTTATGTCATTGCGGTCGATCACTTCCACCAACTAACAACAATTATGAAGGATCAACTAGTTTTTTTGTGAAATTAGTATGCAAAAATAGTAGTGCAATTACTGCAGTCGATCTATTTTGTGCCAGGTGTACTGAGATGAAATTCCAAAATTGCTGGCATCATCGGTTTTTCCACTTGCATTGAACATGGGACTGTGACATGTTGAGATAGTTACTATAGTCATGTAGTAAATTGCAAGATTGATATTGTAAAGTAAATGACACTTTATGGTGTGTTTGACAATCCTTTTTGAGACACTTAAGTGTAAATTGCAAAATGTGACAAAAATATAAGACACAAAACCCCCTTTTCAGGTTATGGTGTGTTTGGCAATCCTAAATAAGTTTTGATGTAAGCAGGTGTTGTCCTAAGACCAGGCTTCATTTATGGGAAGAAGAAGGTGGATGGGTTTGAGCTTCCACTGGACTTGGTAGGGGAGCCACTTGAGAGGTTTCTAAGTGCGGCAGCGAACTATACCAAACCCCTGAAGTCCCTTCCTGCATCTGATCTGCTGCTCGCCTCTCCGGTTAGTGTTGACGATGTCGCATAT